ATTCGTCTTTTCTCTTATAATGGCCTCGAGTGACGCCTCAGATTTCGGATGTCGTTGAGAGACAGTGAAATGTCTAGTGAACTGTGTTTTCAGATCCTTCCAGGAAGTGATGGACTCTGAGGCGGGGCTTTTGTACCATGCCATGACACCCTTCCTCAGGGTTGTAGGGGAGAGTCTGCACTTGATGGTGCCTCTGATGTTGTGGTAGTCGAGCATCGCATCTATGTTTTCGATGTGATCGTCTGGGTCCGTTGTGCCATCATAAGATGCCAGACGATGATTTTTCCATCCAGACGGGGAGGGAAGTTTCCATAATCGCTCGAGACAGTGGACCACGGAGGTCGGCTTTGTTGCTTCGAACCGGTGAGCACGACATGGATGGTTCGTGCCTAGGGCTTTTTTCATGACGTAACGAGTTTCTTGGTCGACCCCTCGACTTGCCGTGTTACCCTCCGACTTTTCTCCTCTTGGGAACGGGGGAACGCCACTCCCTGTGGAAAGGAGTATGACCACACTTTTGGGTAATAACGAGATGTGGCCTTTCTAGCCGCAGAAACGCCCGAGTTGTCGTTGCGAGAGGCTTTGAGACTCATCCTGTTGGTATCCCCGTGGAAGAGAGCGTGGATAGGTGTCTCTTCGTTGCAGGGACGGGCTACAAGAATCGGACCGTCGATGTCCACGGGGGAGAGCCTGATCGGAGGTCTTTCTCCAGCATTCTAATTCGCTCATTCTGTTGGAAAATCATGAAGTTGGTCTGGCTAATTGCCGCGAACAGGGCAACCGTGATAGGATCAGCGTTGGGTGGTACAATAATTAGTTGAAACCCCCCTCCCTGGATTCTCGAAATGTTGGACGGCATTGTAGGCCGCATCGTCGAAGGAGGGAGAGGCGGTGAGTCCGTCCCTAGGGCCACCCTCTTCAGCAACGGTCGTCCCATTGCTGTTGTGGTCACCGTCGATAGTGAAAGTGGTAAAGGCAGTTTCGTGAACGTTATTGCCAACGTGTTGATTGGCCATGATGATTGGTAGGTTTTTGGAAGTTTGTTTTAACCTTTAGGTTTCAGAGAAAGGAAAAGAAGGGGGAGAAAAGGTTCCCACAGACGACATCGTTGATCTTACTAGGATCAGAGATTCAATCAGCAGCCAACATGTCGTGGACTCCAATTTCTCTAGTGACGGAGAAGAGGATGAGGTGTACCTGCAAGGCACTCTGATGTCTGTCACACCCTTATTTTTGCTTTTAGCCTTTCATACTCTACGCTCGTCATATCATACATCATTCTATTGCATATCGAGCATGTGGGCTCAAAAGGTAAAGATTGGGTCGGTCCTTTGTTTTCCATTTCAAATAAGAGAAATTGTCTATCATGGGCTATATGGAAAAAAAAAAGGTTCATCATCTAAGGTTTGATTCAAGTTGGAAAGTCTACTCATGTAGATTCCTTCAAGGAGAAGTTACTTGAAAAATATTAGGATATTCAAGATCAATATTCCTAATGAACATGAAGTGCAAGGCCCAATTCAAAATTTCTTCATCCAACTTTGTTTCAAATTCTATGTTCAAGTGGAATTCAAATTTGCAAGACATAAGTCAAGATCACAAGTTTATAATTCGAGACTTCATCCATTTCAAATTCAACGTCATAAGGGAATATATCATTCCAAATTCAAGATTCATGAATATTACAAAGGGAAATTTCATGACATTACAAGAATGTCACATTTGCTACAAAGTTTCTAACTCTAAGTAATGCTTAGAAAAATTAAGTTATTTCTAATCTTAATTCAAGTTTCTAATTAACTTCATGATATGGTACCCTTCATGCCCCATCAAGTCCACATGTTCCTCATTATGCCTACAAACATCCAAGGAAAATAATTAACATACAACTTAACATTGGAACATGTCAAGATCAAGACTATGCATTTTAATGTGATCTAAAACAGTCCCATGCAAGAAGTGACAATTTGCCTCATAATCAAACAATTCATGTCACAAAACCAAAGGAATAAACTCATGGTGATGTATCTACACATCAAATATCAGAAATTCAAAATTTTGTCAAAGGTAGTAACATTGACCACAAGGGCAGTCCAAGCACAAGCCAACAAATGGGTACAAGATTTGAGAGCAATACAAAGTGCAGTAGAAAAAAGACAGGCTAGGCAAGTGTAGCAGCAAAAATACAGCAAGGCAGCATACATGAAAATGGAAAGAAAGAGAGTGACATCAAGAAAGTGGTAAGAGGCATTTCTCAATGAAAAATTTGAAGTTTTGAAACAAGTGGAAGCCCTAATGTGTTGAGCTTAAAAGGAGAGGGAACAACAGCAAACAAGGGTGGGGGAGAGAGCAAGAGATAGGGGAGAAAAAACCAGAAAAATCAAGAGAGTTAGAAAAACACAAAAAGAAACATTGAGAACATCATCAAGAAAAGAGATTGAGAAAGAAAAAACCATTGAGAGAACAAGAGAGTGTTAGAACACCAGAAGAAGGAGGTGAATCACATAGCACATCCAGCAAAAGCTATTGGTGATTAGAAGGAGAAGAGTAGCTCTTGGGTATCTTTTCTTTCAAACTCTTCTCTCTTTATATATTTGCATGTTTTTATTTTTTCTCTCTTAAATGATATTTGTGTTGTTCATACTGTAATAAGGTCCCAAGAGTGACCAAAAACTATTGTAAAAAGTAAGAAAAAAGAAAAATATAGTGTAGTTTTCATAGTGAGATGAGTTGAAAAATACTCATCTTTGCTGTCATGTTCGCACTGCGAACATCTCCTTCGTCTAGCGAACAAGTTTTTGTGGTACTCAAAGTACCACTGGACAGCCAGTTTTCCCTTGTTTTTAGCCAATGAATGCGAATGCAGAGGAGAGTATTTATAGAGGCGTTGGGCCAAAGGTCACCCGTTGTGGGATGGATCGTTAGGCCCGCAACGGATGACTGTCAGGATCCTACGTGAAAGTAGAGAAGACCAGCATGTGGTCTTCGCCCTAGGTCAACTGGCCCACGTTCTCCAGGAAGTAGACGACTATCCCATTACAAAGGGCAGAATGTTTCCACGAGAAATGCGAGATCAGTTGTCCACGTGTCCTCAGGTGAGAGCCGTGTGAGGAGCGTGTGGGAAACGTGCATTTCCGCGATTATGATGGATTGGGCCTGTGTTAGGCCTTCTTCAACGCTGAGCTGGACTGGACTGTGCCCGACGATGGGTCAGCCCCAAGCCCAGTCGGAAACAACTTCCATATGTACATCGACCACCGTGAGACACATCCGTTTGATAACATAGCCTTATACTCCGGATGATTGAATTGCAATTCATGTTTGACGTATCCTCATTTGCTTGAGTGCGTCATGCAACAATCCATCCACATGCAGTTTATTCCCAAAGACTCTTCTGAGTATGCTTCTCTTGCTATGACACATGGAGATATGGATACCGTGTTTGATGATTATCTTAATCATATGAAAACGGATGAGGCACATAGTACCATAGTTCCTAGCGACTTGAGTGTTGTACACAATTATAATCAGTGGTATCTCAGGGTGTCACATACTTATATAACACTAGATGCTCTAAGAGATCCACTTAAGTCAATTCATCATGAGATACCAGATAAGGAGCAGGCTGAGACATGTTATATATGTGTTGCCTAAATGTCGTCATATCATAAAGTTTGGGCATGCAGGCATAAACAGAGGACTCTTTTCAAATGATTCTGAGGTGGAAAACGTTTTAGATACCATTATAAGAGAGGCACGAGAGACACTATAATACAGAAAACAATGTAGAAACAAAAGGGCCGAATTCGTTATTCACAATAGTATATAATATTTGTGTTATGAACACTATTTTCAGTTCTATTTTATTTTGACTTTATTGAGTACTCCAAACTTATTAATTTATATGTATCGTTTTCATATTATTCCAAAAGTATATTTTCATATTATTCCAAATATATGTGGTTTAATTTATACAAAAATTAAAAATGATATTATAACTATAATATATCATCAAATTCATCTAAACATGGTTCTAAAGATATATCTCTATCCTGTCTAGTAACAATACAAAGACAAATCTCCAAAACAATTTATGCTAAAGAAGTCATCAAATTCGTCTAAACATGGTCCTAAAGATATATCTCTATTCTGTCGAGTAACAATACAAAGACAAATCTCCAAAACAATTTATGTTAAAGGACATCTCACTATATAATACATGAGACGTACATAGAATTGTTTTGAATTCTGTCTAGTAACAATACAAAGACAGATCTCCAAAACAATTTATATCAAAAACGAACTTCTCACTAAATAAAAACAATTTATATCAAAAAAGAACTTCTCACTAAATAATACATGGAATGTACATAGAAACATAGAATTATTTTAAAGATGCATCTCCAAAATAAATTTTAAAAAAAAAGAGATGAAACCCAATTGAGATATTTCATAAAACTCTATCCGAAAATCCGAAGATGCATTTCTGAAATCAAATAGACATTTTTAAATTTTCACAAGGTGTTTTTCACCACTTGTATGCGGTTAACAATTCCCATTATTTTTCAAGCGCATAATTGAACTCAACAATTCCATTCCATCAATGTACACTAGAACAAAGTACACTGGTACCAAATATGCATTAAAAGGGCGCAAAAACTTAGGGCATGTTTGCAAAATGTAGTTTCTTTTCATTTTCTTCGGCAGAAAAATAGAGAATGTACTTATTACAAGTAGCCATATATTAACAAATTCCTAAAGTAACATGGCATCTCTTCATGAATGGTTCCATGCTGAAATACTCATGGAAGAACATCAGAAGAGCTATAAGAGGAGTCGGGCAAAGCTTCAAGAAGAAATTCCAATGAGTTTATAGCCTTGAACATTGGATGGAAAATATACAGAGTAATCAACAAGAGTAGGCATCTCTCAAAGAAAAAGCATCGGAACAAAACCAAGACCACTGACTCAGTGAAGTCTGCTTGATCAGAGTTAGTTCTTCATTTCCTTTTTCCTGTGCCGAGTGATAGGAGTTCAAAGCTCCTGAGTGTATCATCACGGCCACCTCTTGTCCCAGAAGCGCGATTAAATGATGATGTCTTGGACTCCAAACCTGGTTGAGTTCTCTGAGTAGTAGATAGTCGGCTACTGTTCATGACCAGTCGGCGGCTTTCACTTGGTTCACCAGAAGAGTTTGGACGGCTGCTTGACAAGACAGGCCTTTTTGAAGAACTGCCATGACGAGAAGAGCTACGGGGCCTCTCAGAATCAACTTGCTGCAAAAGTTAAGGATTAGGTAACTCCATAGTAAAATTTTGAGAGACCAACTCAAAAATATGACAATGCATGTACTAACCACGTCTTTAGAGGATGGCACATCATCCTTTGACCTATGCCTAGGATGATCACCATGCAGACCATGCCCAGACACATTCCTTCTTGCAAATGCCTCGACTGCACCTGAGAATCTATCACGTACCTCTGGTCCACCTGAAATATAGGCATAAAAATACTTGGTTGTTGAACTTGAAGAAAGTCCTTTCCCATACAACTGTAGACTGAACAATACACTCTTTTTGTCATGTATGCTCTACAGACTCGTTATCTATCAGCATGACACTAAATTTAGAAGGAACAATGAAGATTCCAGATCTTGATGTAGAAGTAGGAAACCTGAAGGCCGTTCGATTCTCTCTCCAGATTGTCCAGGATTTATGACTGGTTTCCCACTTGGCTGTTCAAAATGCAATCAAAAAAATTGATTAACAAGAACCTTTAGTTTTGCGGGGAAATGCAACAAATGACAATAAATGAAGATTATAACTATTAAGTACTCACTCGGGCTTTGGAACTGGATCCAATTTGTGGGTATTTCAATATTGTCCAATCAAACACATAATCAAACTGATAGCCTGCGAAAGAAACATTTTCAAAGCCTCAAAAGAATTTCAACCTGGAAATAGTAAAATCTATATAAATTCAAATTTAACCTTCTCGGATGAATAGGTCACGAAAGAGTCTCTTGAGATACGAATAATCAGGCTTATCTTCAAACCGCAGCGATCGGCAATAATGGAAGTATGATGTAAATTCCAATGGATGTGACTTGCACAAAACCTATCACAAAAGCTCAGGCAATAAACTCTTTGCAACATACAAAATGGAAACTATTTATGCATTATAGATAACTAGAGATCGTCACATCATGAGTATTCTAATAATCAAAACATTCACATAAAAGCTGCTTGCCAGCAGGTTATAATACCTCTACAGGAGTAAGCATCTTCTTTTCACTTATTTTGTCGTATTTTTGTTTTTTATTACCAGCTCTCAAACCTTGCCAAGGGAGACTGGAAAACAATTACCTGAGTTAAAATAAAATGAGAAAGATTGTAAACAAAAATGATGGTGCATTGGGACCAACCTTCCTCTCAAAAAGTACATGAGCACATAACCAAGTGATTCTAGATCATCTCTTCTGCTTTGTTCTGCAACAATGAAGAGAACAAGTTCTATTATAAATTTACACTCACATGAATTTAATAACTTTAAGAATACTGATTGATTGATAGCTGCAGAAAATAGTCTCACTCACCAACTCCCAGATGGGTATTAACACTCGCATACCGGGCAGTTCCGGTGAGGTTTTTGTTTTCCCTGAACAAAAGTACCATGGTCATTCACGAAATGAGGGTTAGAAATATGCATGACAATAATTACTTTTTCAAATCAAAGATAAATAAACACTTGATGGCTTTCATATGGTGACACATATGGGAGGATTTTCTTGCATATGCAGGCAGCAGGTGAAGGTTCAAGTTCGGGAATATTATTTGGATGCTGGTTCAGGTTCAAAACTAGTAAAACTCAAGTTGCACACACCCATTTACACCCTATGACCCTAGTAAGACTTAACCTGTTAGTTATCCCAAATCCAGCAACACAGCAATAATCATGTAATCAAAAGACAACCGGAATCCAAAAAAAGAATGTGAAATAGTACTATTTTATTTTAACCTAAATGAAGTGGAAGGGTAGATATAAACAGTAAATTCCAAAGAAGGAAAAAAACAAAAACAGAAGCGAACTTACTGAGCAAGGAACCACACGAAATAAATTTTGTAAACTTTAAAAGTTAAAAAGGAAACATGATATGGAACTGTGACTCAAGGAATGAAATTATCACATGCTACAGTAATCAAATATGGTACACACCTATATGGTATATGCTTGTGCGTGTGAAGATCTCGATACTTTTTTGCAAGGCCATAATCAATTATGTATACCTGCAATGTTTAAAATAAATTCAGCACAGAATTTCAGTTGTTTGTATTAAACATTTCAAACTGCAACATAAAGAAAAAACCAACTGTGTTTTATGACATGAAACCTGACAAGATGTAAGCAGAACTAAAAGATGCATGGAAAACTGGCTTATTGTTTCTGATCTTCATCTTAGTTCCTATGACATTGTGTGAGCCTGATTTTTTTTTTTAATAACCTTAATGCTTAACATCATTTCTTAGAAAAGCTAGATACAGTCTAACCTTATATTAACTGGGATAGTGTGTAATTGGTTCTTAGGAAATACCAGGAGTAAAATTTTTAAGTTTATAAACCTAATTAAAATATTAAGAGAATACAGGTGATTTAAAACTTTGTTCCATATGTATGTTGTTTCTAACTTTCAAAACTACATAATAATATCGTAAGCATTTGAACAAGACCACCAAAAGTAATCATAATAATAAAGCTGACAAGTGATAAAGAACACCAACAACTATGTAACTCAGCCATTTGTCAAAGCATATGACCGAAAAGTAACATCTAACAATGGTGATTCGTGAAAGTTTGTGAAAACCCGGAGAAAATGTTAACAAACAAAGGGAATAAAGACAAAAGTGTCTTGCTTTAAGGGAGAAAATGCTAATATCAAGAGAGAAAAAATTCTCTCAAAATTAGAGACATGAATATTAACCAATCAGTTATATCAATAATGGTAAATGTAAGTTAGCAGCAATATATCAGATAGAAGACTGTGTTTTTGGAAAGCTGGCAAATGGATATTATCGCGTTGGTCTATGATCCCTTAAACGCATAATGGAAGGATAGCAATCTGGCCACTTCTAAAATCTCCTTCGCAGTCCTCCCAATCAAAACATAACACCTCAACAAAGAATTTTAACAACCAGGAAAGAAAATATTAGTTGTGTTGGAAATTCCGTCTTCATTGCAGATTTGCAGTCCGCCCCTAGTTTCCTAATTGTGGCATCTGGCTTGCCTTCATTGCAGCCTCCAACACCTTCATTGTGTTGAGTTTGAAGGCGTAGAAATAGTCTCACATTGCTTAGAGATATGGCATGTGTAGTGTTTATAGTAAAAGGATAGCAGACTTAGCAGTCTTCTGTCCACTTCCCAAATCTCCTTCCAGTCCTCCCAATCAAAACATAATATGTCAACAAAGAGTTTTAACAACCAAAAGAGAGAATATTAGTTGTATTGGAAATTCTGCCTTCATTGTGGTCCGCCCCTAGTCGCCTAATTGTGACAATTGTGTTGCCTTCATTGCAGCCTCCAACACCTACATTGTGTTGAGTTTGAAGGGGTGGATTTAGTCCCATATTGCTTAGAGATATGGCTTGTGTTGTGTTTAGAAGTGGGGACAATCCTCACCTTACAAACCGGTTTTGTAAGGTTGAGTTAGGTTCAACCACAATTTTAAGATGATATTAAAGCCTATCCTAGATCACTTGTTGGGCTTCCCGCATCGTCCACACTTTCAGGCTCATTCAGGCTCGAGCACGAGTGTGTTGGAAAGTCCGCCTTAGTCGCCTAATTGTAACAGCTGTGCCGCCACTGCAGCCTCCAACCCCTACACTGTGTTGGGTTTGACAGGGTGGATTCAGTCCCACATTGCTTAGATATATGGCATGTGTTGTGTATATAAGTGAGGTAAATCCTCACCTTACAAGTTTGTTTTGTAAAAGTTGAGTTAGGTCCAACCACAATTTTTTTAAGTTGTAAAAAGATTTCTTTTGTTTGGGTGTTATGGTTTGAGTGTGGGGTTAAGGAAGGCAGCAAGAAAAGGGGGACATATTATCTCTATCCATAATACATATAGTAAATGTACATATACACCATAGCATTGCATTTGTGCGTGTTTTTTGAGAATTAGCCGGAGAACAACAAAAGTGGCAGAATTTTAATGATGATGCTAATGAATAATGAGAAATGTCCATGCTGCATTTGCTCTGCTAAATCACTTTAAACCCCATGCTTAAAAATCTAGCTAACACAAACAACTTCCGGATACTTAATCCTCAAATTTAGAGCACTAATTCGAATGAAATAAATCCACTATTTTTAACGAAAGTGCTTTTATCATAATCTAAATTTTAGATCACAAATACTAGTTCAGTATGCAAATGAGCAGTAAGTCGTGCATAAACGCCCAACCAGATAAGGCTGAACTCAAATCATTGCAGGATACGCGAAGATACCTGATTTGCTTTGCGGCCTAAGCCCATTAAAAAGTTGTCAGGCTTTATATCACGGTGCAAGAAACCCCGGGAGTGCATGTACTCAACTCTGTTTAGCTAAGTGAAACAAATTGATTAAAACTAAAAGTACAATAGCTTTCTGTAAAAAATATAATGTTGCTGAAACGGATGTCATACTTACTAGCTGATCTGCAAGCATCAGAACTGTTTTCAGAGACAATTTCCTATTGCAATAGTTAAACAAATCTTCAAGACTGGGTCCAAGGAGGTCAATCGCCATGGCATTGTAATCACCCTCAACTCCATACCATTTTAAATGGGGAATACCCGCTTCAAAAAAAAACATGCTAATCAATCAGACAGGTTCACAGACTACTAATTTTACTGTGTAACTATAATGTAAACAAATGACTGTCTTGACAACAAGAAAAAAGGCTGAAGGAACATAAATTGGGAAGAAAAATAAACGGATGAAACTTACTTCCCCCTTGAAGAAGCATGTACAATTTTGACTCATAGTGAAGTTGAGGATGCTTGGTCTTCGAAGGTTCCTGACAAACAAAGGAAGAGATAGGTAAAAAAGAATTGGTAATAGCTTAACTTTGAAAAAGATAGGTAACAAATTGTGCAAACTAGGGCTTATTGAACTTTGAGACATCATCACAGAACAAATGTTTAAAAGGTTAAGCCAATAAAAAAAGATGCTGGCCCAACAGATGTGGATTGATATTGAAGCATGAACCAGCATGTCAAATGATGTAATACAAATTAAACCTTAGACCATTTGTTTTCTCTGTTTCCCCTGTATGCCAATGGATACAAATATAGTTCGATAATAATTATATAATCATATAATCATATAATATATACTTTATGACAATGGGCACACTATATATCATTACTGAAATGGTCTTCAATCATACATACTATTAGTCTATAACCAAATGATCTTTCTATCTATTCATATGTCTTTATTCTCTATGAGATTTTCACCGCTATCAGAAGTTACCATCACAAAGGAATCTACCAATCTCCCTTAAGTTTTTCATTGTCAAAATCTCTAACTCAATAGTTATCCTTAAAAATTCCTTTTCTTCTAAAATATAACTAGTAATAGTCTAATATAGCCTTATTGTTGACATGCATATTGTTTCACAGAAACAACAAGAAAGATACTAATTACATCACTTCTGCAGCAAATAAAACTCATTTATGCACTAGTAAAAAATAAGCACTGACAGTAACTGCACTCACCAGCTTGACAGCAACTTCCTCTCCAGTTTGTACATTCACACCTGAAAGAAACAAAAGCATAGAAAACCGAGTTAATATTCAAAGTAAACAAGCCTGTTAATTCTACCAAAAACAACAGATACGATGCATACATACCCAAGTAAAGCTCTCCAAATGACCCACCCCCAATCTTTCTCCCAAGTTTGAATTTTCCACCAATAACATGATCCATTATCAAAAACCCACTCTACTACACTACACACATCAATTGCAAAAAAAAAAAAAAAAAAAACCAACTTATTCTATCAATTCAAGCCTCTCATCAATGATTCATCTTTATTTCAAGCACAATCCTAGATCCAACGAGATTTAACATAAAAATTGAGATCCAAAAGTGTTGAACAACTCGAAACTTAGGCTATACTAATCCCGATTCCCGACAATCAAAACCCCAAACAAAAGGACAGATAAAAAAAAGTGATTTTGATGGATGAAAATAAGATCAAGAACTAGAAAATACAAAACCCTCACTGCACGCAAAATCGAAGCACAGTCACGATTCTGGAGTGAGTCAAATAAACTCGTTTGTGTCTTGTTTGAAGAAAAGAGGTACAATAACGATGAGGTAGCGACAAAAATCGGAGTAAATTTGAGTCGATAAAGTAGAATATGGGGAATAATAGTGAATAGTGTGGAAAGTTCAAAAAGCGTAGAAAGAGGGTGAAGAGGAAGAAGATAGAATTGGCAGCGATGGGTATTGGATTTGGAACTCCGTTTTGGATCTGTCTTGAAGGACACGGAGTTAATTTCTAGAAGAATTTTGTGATTCTGTAAGAGAGAGAGAGAGAGAGAGAGAGAGAGAGAGAGAGAGAGAGAGAGAGAGAGAGAGAGAGAGAAGTTATTATGATGTGAGATCAGGTGAGATGAGAAAAGAACATAAAATGGATGATGACTGTCCAAACTAGTCTAACTTTGATGTGATATTGTAAATGATTTTGTTCTTTTTCTTTAATGGGAAAATGATTTTGTTTATTTTAATTCAACATTACATTACTCTCTTATTTTTCTTAAATTTACAACAACAAAAAAATCAAAAAATTACAATAAATTAATTATGATTAAAGGTAAGATGAAAGTAAAACAATTAATGTTTGGATACAAAGTGAGTTGAATAATTGAAAGTACAATTTGTGTTTTTTAATAAAATTAATTATAAATTTGTGTCTATGTGCGGAGTACGTTTTAGGACAAAATACACTTTTAGACGGGCATTTGTTTTTAGACGGTAAGAAAAAAGGAAGTTGAAGAAAGAATAAAATTTAAAATAATAATAAATTTAAATTGAAATAATAATAAATGCAGAATAAGACATATAAACAATAATATTATGAATAATAGAATTAAAAATAAAAATTATTGAAATTTGTATTAGATAAATCAATCGTTTTAATGTTTTTGCAAATAAGACAATGATTTTATAAGAGAGAAAACAATTTTAAAATATACAATCAATTTTTTCTAATAAGTTCTATTAATCTTTTTTACATATTTGAAAAATATGGTTGATAAATTTTTATTATTCAATAAATAGATCAGTAGTAAAGTTGTTCTCATTTGTAAGAATAATAGTTTTTCTATATATAAAATTATTATAATCAACAACATATTTTTTCTCATATATAAATATTTTTTTTTCTAGCATTATTTATAAAAATATTTGAATTAGTAAGATGAAAAAAAAATTATTTTTGACAATATTTGTAAAAATATTTGAATCAATAATAAAGTTGTTTCCGTTTATAATAATAATATTTTGTCTCATATATAAATATTAATATTGTTTTGAAACTATTTTAAAAAATATTTGAATCAATAGTAAAGTTTTTTCCGTATATAAAAATATTTGTATCAAAATATTTTTTTTGTTTTTACAATATTTATAAAAATATTTGAATCAAGAGTAAAATTGTTCTAATTTATAACAATAATTGAATTAACTTATAAATATAAAAGTATTTTACATTGTCATCAAATTATTATTTTAATTAAAATTGATTTAAACATTAACTATAAATTAATTTCTTAAATCTTATTTATACATTAAAAGCAATATATATTTAATTAATGGGTTTAGAATAGAGAATGAAATTGACATTTGAAATGAGATTAGAATTGGATTAGATTGAGTTTACGTGAACATTGGATTTGAAATTTATTTTGGATAAAATATGATTTGGACTTTTGGAAAGCAATTTAGGGGGCTTGAATTCTTGATTTGAATTGAAATGAAACATGAACTTAGTAACTTTACAAGGGGTTGAATTGAAACATGAAATTGAATGAGCTTGAACCTGAAGCTTGTTTGACTTGAATCATTGAAACTAGAAATGGAAGGAAATTAAATGGAATTCTTGAAACTTGAACTCTAATTGAAATAGAATTGAAGATTACATTGGACATAATTAATTAAAAAAAAGCTTGGAACTTGAATGTGTATTGAAGTTTGAATGAGGACCTGACTGTGAGTTTCGAAATGCCATGAAGTGGAAACTTGATAATTTTGGATAAAAAATGAAGTAATGGATTGGGTTTGAATTGAGAAATTAAATTTGAATGAATTAAAATTGAAGGGGATTTGAAATGTGATTATGAATTGAAAATGGATGGAATTGAAAATTGGAAAGAGAAATTGAATAGAATTTGGAAATATTTTTGGAAATTTGTCAATGGACGACATCTTGAACGACTTTGAATTGAATAGGAAGCTTGAATTCTCCTATAACAAGAACATAAACTGCATTGTCGGCACCCGCAATTGTCTTGACGCAACTTGACCTCAACAGATAACTCGTGCATTTCAGAGGCATAATAGCCAGATGATATGCATAATGGATATGATGCACAAATGGTGAAATGTTATGATATGTATGGTTGACAATTCAGGGTCAAAATTAGGGTGTAACAGTTGCCCCTATTTAAATATCTTCAACTAGAGAGTATGAAGAAGGTCATTCTTCATATGATCGTAGTGGGAGATAGTTAAATACCAAGAAGACCCGAATTTTGATCCTGAATGCATATGACATGTTATGCTATGGATAAAAGAAAACTATGTAATGTAATAAACTCTATCATGATGATAATGATGGGATGACACATGCAAAATGCAGACAAAGAAAGTAAACACACGAGTATAAAGTCAACACAATGAATAGCAAATTCACTGGGGATGACCAAACACTAGGGAAAGGAAACAACTGGGAAATCTAAAAAACGATTGGTCAACATGTTTAGGCATGACCGACTAACACTCTAGAATAAAAGGTAAAGCAGGATCCTTATGCCACAAGGATTATGCCAGCAAAAGAAACTTCTAGAAATTCCTTAAACAAAGAGATCAAATGGGATCTTCAGGAAACATCAGGTAAGATACTGGGAAACGCCTTTTAGATAAGCTTCTCAAAAAAGATAGCCACTTATCACTGCAAAAGGATTTACGCACCACCAAGAATGGATAAGTTTCTCGAAAGAGACTGCCACTTATCGTTGAAAGAGGGTAAGCTTCTCAAAAGAGATTGCCACTTATCACAATAGCAAAACAAGCTTCTCAAAGGGGACTGCCACTTATCACAATAGCAAAACAAGCTTCTCAAAGGGGACTGCCACTTGTTGATGAAAATGGATAAGCTTCTCGAAAGAGATTGTCACTTATCGTTGAAAGAGGATAAGCTTCTCAAAAGAGATTGCAACTTATCACAATAGCAAAACAAACTTCTCAAAGGGGACTGCCACTTGTTGATGAAAATGGATAAGCTTCTCGAAAGAGATTGCCACTTATCGTTGGAAGAGGATAAGCTTCTCAAAAGAGATTTCCACTTATCACAATAACAAAGCAGGAGTACAAGCTTCTCAGAGGAGATTGTCACTTGTTAGCAAAAGGGATAAGCTTCTCAAACGAGACTGCCACATATCGTTGAAAGAGGATAAGCTTCTCGAAAGATATTTCCACTTATTGTTGAAGAAATAAAGGAAACAAGCTTCTCACGGGAGATAGTCACTGTTGCACCCTAAAATTTGCTCAACCTATTTCACTTGGTTTATGTTTCAATTACATTAGCATTGGCATATAGAGTCATGTACATAGTCTAATCATCTGCATATCATAGCATAGCAAGTCATCCAACAAGGGACCAAGTACTATTCTCATCTCTATGAGCCTATCAAGAGGTTATTATTCAAATTCAAGCATATCCAAGTCATCAGAAAGAAATTGAAGTCTAAGAAGCCAGTGGATCAAGCAGTGGATCTCTCTCCTATCTTGAGTGTATTTGAAGATCATCAAGGAAGTTGTGAGCTGTGAATTGAGGTCATGGAGAATATATAGACATCATGGAAGACATGGAGAGCCATTTTAAAAGTGAGACCAATCAGTGATGTGATCACAAGAGCTGCAGTTGAAGACAGTCAACTAGGGTTTCATATGGGTCAACCCTAGGTCAAATGACTGATTGAAAGGCATCAAGGCCTATCTGAGAGATGTGGGGTTCATCATTTGACATGTAGATAAGGATGTGGTGTTGTGCCAAGAAGAAATCAAGAGAAATCAAGAAGAAGAGGAGTTTCTAAATTAGGGTTTCTGTGTAAAATCCCCTGATTTAGGGCAAACTTCCAAGTAAGATAATTCAAAATGCAAGCTTCAAATGGATCCTTGGCCAACATGAAACTTGTAGAGGATGTCAAGACCTTTAATTTGAGTGGTTGAATACATCAAGGAGATTTATAGAACTCAAGTTATGGTCCTTGCAAGTTACAGGTCATCTGAGGTATCTGAAATTTTGTCTGTGAAAGTTATCTGTCTTCCAAGCAATGTTTACCCCTCAAGGAGATTTCAAATGAATTTCTGGTCAACATAAGAGTTGTTCCTCATTGTCTTAGATTTCTAGAAAGGTATGGTATGCCTTCATCTGATTTGTGGAACTCTACTTATGGCCTTGGCAAGCAAAGGGTATTTTGGTCATTTGAGAATTACAGGTCATTTCAAGCCTATGCCCAAAACTCATACAAGGAAGCTTCAAATGAAAAACTTCACAACATAAAACTTGCTCCAAATGACATTTTGAGTCTAGAAAAGTGATCATGAAAGTTTGTAAATGCTCATAGCTCAAGGTTCCAAATTTGTTCATTTAAAAGATGAATTTAATGAATAAAAGTGACCTAAAAATGGGATTTTTC